GTAATAACTATCTTTTCTTCTATTCTTTTCTATATTAACTTAATTCTTCTCTCTCTCTCTCTCTCTCTCTCTCTCTCTCTTTATTTTTTAATAATCAGACATGATATACTTTTAATTTTAAAAAAATCAGAAATTTCCATTAGTTTTTAATTTGTTTAATTTATTGAAAATAAATTATTTGCCAATTGAAATAACATTCTATTTAATTCTATAACTTTATACTGATATTCACATAAACAATATAATAGTTAAATATTTTAATAATTAAATATAATAATTAAATATTTAATATTATAAAACGATATTATATCATAAAAGATTTTTATTTAATTAATATAAATAACATTTAGATCAATATTATTGTACATATAAAAATTCTAAAATTTAAAACTATTTGGTATAAGTTAATTTTTCAATCAATTTAATTTTTTATCATCAAAAATCGAATAACAATCATTATTTATCGGAACTTCTTATATTTACAAATTGTGATTTAATAAAATTTGTCTGATTTTTCTTCGACTTTTCATTTTTATTCTCTATTATTATATTTCGTTATTACATTTTATCCAATCTATCATTTGACAAAATATAAAATTTAATTATTTTTATTATTGTATAACTTATAACTATTGTTATAACTACTAATAACTTATTCTATTAACTTAAAACTGAAGAAGTTCATTTATATTCATTTATGTTTATATACATGAATATATTTTCCATAATTTGATTGTGGAAAATGTGTATAAAAAACTTCCGATAACAATTGATAGTGACTTAAAAATCTATCTATTTTTGGTACAATATTATCAAACAATATTATATAATTCGGAATAGTAATATTTTTATTAGTATTATAATTTTCAACCAACCATTGCATTGGATTTGTAAAAAATATGTCTGTTTCATCCATATAGTTTATGTTATTAGTTAAATTAGGTTCACAAGTTAATATTTTAATAGATACATTTATATGTAAATGACTATATAGAGGAGTAGCATGACATGGAGTTAGAAATAATATGTTGTTTGTATTCTTATTATTAGCAATTTCTTTATGAAGAATATTCATTACATCTAATGATCCACGTTGATGTATTAAATTAAAATAAAAACCAGGTAATACATTAGATAATATTAAAAATCCTACAAAAATTTTTCTTGCTGTTTTCATAAATTTCATATTCAAATGGAATGTACAAGAAGTACATATATATATACACATTGGTAAAAGAGGTAATAAAAATCGAAATTCTTTATGAGACAACAAAGAATAAATACTAAGTGTCCAACATATAACAAATAACAAAACTGCTTGATAATGAAAAAAAGATGGGTGTTTCATTATTTGCCAAATACATAATAAAAACACAATATAATAACATCCTAAAAGTACTGGTAATCCACATATAATATACCATAACAAATGTTGCGTACCATATGAATCTCCAATTTTATGAATTACATTCATACGAAAAAACTCCCAAGGAGAAATGACTAAAATACCATAACAATAAGTATCTAATAATATTGAAGTTACGCAACAAATAATGCATATTACACTATATTGATATATTATTTTCCACTTATTTTGTAAATTTGTACATAAATGATAAAAACACAATGGCAACCATACAACAACAGCAGTAGGTCTAATCATACATAGGAATCCCACAATCCATAAATATTTTACAGTTTTAATATTGTTACCATGCCATGGAAATATTGACAAAGCTATCATAGTACATGTAGTTTCTATAGTATTTATTAACGTACGTGTAGCACAATAATACCAATACCAATTTATACATAAACTATATAATGTCCATTTGTTTTTAGTCCACTCATAGAATTTGTATTCTCCATAAGCACTGAAAATTGCTTGAAGAATTCGAGGTGCAGTTGTTAAAATTATTACATAATCCAAGGATATCAATGTCAATATTCTATACATGATAGATAATAAAAATGGATAAATATAATTACGAATTTTCATTGTCCACTCCCATGTGAGATATCCATATCCAAATGCTAAATGATGAGCAACTTCTAATGATTGCCAATATTCATCTGGTACATGAGCAGTTTGAACCATGAAGACAGAAAATAACCTCCATAATATTAAATATAAAAATATTTTCATTTTTTTAGTTAGATACATTTTTTATGGTTAAATAACTCTAATTAAAATTAATATATCGCGCTATAAAAATAATAAAAAGTATATTTTGAACTTTTTACAAAATGATGATGTGAATAATACAAATAAAATTTTAGGTTAATTTTCCAAAAATAAGTATTTACTTCATTAAATATTAATATTTTGTAATCACTTATGTTTTCATAAAAGTTCCTTTATTTTTATTAATTAAATTACTAGTTATTATTATATATTATAAATTATATTTTAATAGAATAACAAAATATTTGATATAGCAAGATACTGTTCTTACATTCGATCGAAAAATAATATATTTAATATATTAATATTAATGATATAATGAAAACATTATTTATAGTTTTTAATAATCAATATTATCTGAATAGCGAAAAATATTATTTTTAATTTTTAATTTTTATATAAATGTTTTACGTTTCATCTGAAGAACAAAA